ACTGAAGGCCCCACAGGCGGTGCCCAAATGCGTGTGCGCCACCCATTTCGGCAAACCCCTTACACGTGGCCCCAAAAAGGGGCTGCACCGAAGGCCCCGTTGGCTGTGCCCGCATGCGTCCGCGCCACCCATGTGTGCACACCCTCAAACGTTTCGTGGCCCCATACGGAGTTCCACCGAAGGCCCAATTGGCGGTGCCCACATGCTTCCGCGCCACCCATGTCCGCGCACCCCTCGTACGCTTCTTGGCCCCATAAAGAGCCCCACCGAAGGCTCCAGTGGCGGTGCCCACATTTGTCAGCGCCACCCATGTTGGCACACCCCTCACACGTTTCGTGGCCCCATCGGGAGCTCCGCCGAAGGCCCCGTTGGCGGTGCCCACATGCGTCTGCGCCACCCATGTTTGCACACCCCTCAGACGTTTCGTGGTCCCATAGGGAGCTCCACCGAAGGCCCCAGTGGCGGTGCCCACATGCGTGCGTCCGCGCCACTCGATTCGGCACACCCATCACACGTTGTGTGGCCCCAGAAGGAGTTCGAATGCCCCACTGGGCGTGCCCACGTGCGCCCGCGCCACCCATTTCGGCACACCCTCATATGTTTCGTGGCCCAATAGTGTGTCTCCGTGATTATATCCTGCGTGTCAGTGCCAGGTCTCAAGATGCGCTGATGCTGACGTGGCCCCTCGCCGCATAGAGCCCCTCTGCTCCGCGTGCCGCCTTGATGTCGCAGTGCCTTGTGCCTCGTTCTTTTTGGCACGTTGCCTGTGAGAAGAGGGGCCATATCTCGCGTTACTTATAATTTGCTTGCCCCCTCCTTCGTATCATATCCTTCGCTGTGCTCGCAGCTGCATGCGGCTGGGCCGTTTGCCCGGCGAATTCTTGTTTCTCAATTGCAGTGGTGCTGGCGACGACGACGACGAAGGCGACGACGACGACGACGACGATTCAAACAGAACATCGTCGCACACAAGGGCCGGCGGATTTTCAGGCGAGTTGCCCTGATCAGGCAAGTGTAGCAGCATGCAGTCCAGGAGTGCAGCGAACATGTCTCCGCATATCTTCCGAAGGCAGGAGGAAGCGGAGGGGAAGGATGATGAGGAGGGATGAGGGAATGAGGAAGAAAATGCGCGGGAAGAGAAAGAGGAAAGGGAGTAGGAGGGGAATCGAATTTTAACGGACGTCGTTCCTCTTCAACTTTCGGTGGGCCGTGGGTGAGACGCGCGGGAGGAAGAGGAGGACAGGAAACGGATGATGAAAGTGGTAAAGAAAGCGGGGGAGGATAAGGTGGGTGAGGGGGAGGAGGAAGATGAGCAGGAGGGGTGGACGGAGGGGAGGAACAACGCGGCTTTCGACGGCAGCCTCGACGACGACGGTGACGACGGCGTCGACGGCGTCGACGTTGAGGCTGTCGTTGACGCCTCCCCCCTCACTCCATCATCATGTAGACTTCGACATACCTTGGCATACTTGCAAATACTGTACCTTACTTTAACTTGCCCTCAGTTGCTTTAGCATACTTTTGCGTGGCACTTACTTTGAGCTAGCATGGTTTAACGTGCACTAACGTACTAGAACATGCATTAACATAGCTTGCCACTTCTTATTTACCTTTACCTTGGCATGCGTAACACATGTAGCTATCATTAGCTTGCTTACCCGAACACTAAATAATGCTACTTTATCTTACAGCATGTTACATCTAAGCTAAAACATGTGGAACTCTGCTATTGGCCTTGGAAGTCTTATGTAGTAGTTAACACTCAATGCAAGTACGTGGGGAGCCATGTGTTGGTTCCTGGTAAGCTCGTGGGGCTGGCCGGGAACTTTGCGGAAGATTTTCTAGGATGGATATGAGGGTCTCGTGGAATGTCTCTCAGGGGTCTCTCAGAGGGCTTTCGGGGGGGCATCTGGTTGGCTTTGGGGGGCCTCTTGGAGGTCTTTTTCGGGGCCTCTTGGGGCCATCTTGGGCTGTCTTGGGGCTGTATGGGGCCGTCTTCGCGCCCTCTTGACGGCCTCATGGGCCGTCTTGGGTCGATCTTGGGGGGCCTTCGGGCCGTATTGGACGCTGTGAAAACGAAAAGGGCGGATCTGTCGAACATGTACGTCTTCCGTCGGGAATGGGACGATATTTGCGTCTTGTGGCCCTCTCGGCAGTCCTCGGGGAGCATTCTTCGGCCGTCCTTCGACCTACTTTTCATTTTGGGATTCCAGAGAAGAAGGACGGAAACGACGAAATATATAACGGCGACGGTGAGGGGAAGGAGGAGAAGGAGGAGGATATCGAGGACAATTGGACGGTTTCTGATGTTGTCAGAGGTGGCGGTCTGGCTCTGGAGGAAACGGGAGCCCGCTGCAGTCCCCACGCTCCTGTGGCGACAAGTAGCAGAGGGCGGGGAGGACGAGGAAGTGGGCGAGGAAGAGAAGGCCAGAGGAGAGGGCGCGAGGGCAGAGGTGGAAGCGAAAGCAGGGCGACCTGCGAAGGAGGAGGAGGAGGAGGAGGAGGAGGAGGAGGAGGAGGAGGAGGAGGAGGAATAGGAGGAGGAGGGGGCGGCGGGCGGCAACACTTGGTCGCCGACACTTTGGAGGAGACTTGCGCGGCGGTCCGGGATCACTGGAAGCAAGTCTGGGCGGCGCAGCAAGGTGAGGAGGCGGCGACGAGGCGTTAGGAGGTGGTGGACTTCATGGCGGCAGGGTGCCACCTTGCCCGCAGCCAGGTGGAGGGGAGGGACCCGACCGTGGAGAAGGTGAACACAACCATGCGGGCCTCTGGAGGTAGCGGGGGCGCGGACGGGTGGACGGGCCGGGAAGTAAAGTGGCTGCCCATCGGAGTGGCGGACGCCTCCGCCAGCTGGCGCTCAGGTGGCAGGTGGCCGGGGCCGTTCCTGCCGCGCTCCAGGGACGAGGCGGGTCAACCTGTGCAAGCCTGGCAATGTCAAAGGGAGGCAGGCTCGCAGTGGAGGACACCTGGCCGATCAACGTCGAGAGTGTCTGGTGGAGGGCGTGGACGTCGGCATGGACGAAGTCGGCGCCAGTAGCAGGGTGGCGGAGAAAGAATCTGCCTGCGGACGTCCTGGGAGGGGCGGGGTCCAAAGGGGCCGAGGAGGCGGCGGCGGACATCTGCGATGACCTTGCGCAGCAGGGCTTCGCGGGCACCTTGGAATACTCCCTATGCTACGACCACATGCATCCTGAGGTCACCTGCGGGCTTCTGGAGCGGGTGGGATGGCCAGCAGGGATAACGAGGCTCTGCCAGGATATGTGGACTGGACAGAGGAGGTGTGTGGCGTGGAATGGCCACATCAGCCTCGACTTACTGGTGGCTAGCGACGCGCAACCACAAGGAGACCCATTTGGCCTGCTGGCGCTGAACATGTGGATGGGTGAAGGAACGAGGTGGGCGGCGAAACGCTGCGAGGAGGGCGACCCGGCGAGCCTGGGCCCAGAACCGCAGGAGGAAGGTACGGCCAGGAACCGCAGGAGGAAGCTCGAGAGCGCGAGGAGGCGGAGGGGCCCGAAGAGGACGAGGCGGAAAACAATGAGGAAAACGAGGAGACGCCAGAAGCAGACGAGGAGGAGGAGGAGGAGGAGGAGGAGGAGGAGGAGGAGGAGGAGGAGGAGGAGGAGGAGGAGGAGGAGGAGGAGGAGGAGATGGAGGAGGAGGGCGGAGGAGGAGGAGGAGGAGGAGGAGAGAGGAGGAGGAGCACGAGAGAGGAGGAGCAGAGAGGAGCAGGAGGAGGCACCTGGAGCAAACGGGGAAGCCGAGGAGGACGAGGCGGCGACCGATACGGAAACGGTTCCAGAAGCAAACGACGAGGACGAGGATGGCGAGGCGAAGGCTGGGGAGGAAAAGGCGCCAGGTGCGGACGAGGAGGGCGAGGAAACCCACGCTGCTGGGTCGAGGCGGCGGGCGAGGAGGAGGAGGAGGAGGAGGAGGAGGAGGAGGAGGAGGAGGAGGAGGAGGAGGGGGGAGGAGGAGGAGGAAGGATCAAGGAGAGGCGAAGACGCGGACGGAGGAAGAGGAGGAGGAGGAGGAGGAGGAGGAGGGAGGAGGAGGAAGGAGGAGGCGAGGAGGAACAAGAAAAGGCAAGAAGAGGAGGAGGAAGAGGAGGAGGAGGAGGGAGAGAAGGAGGAGGAGAGGAGGATGGAGGTAGGTGGAGAGGAGGAGGAGGAGGTAGGAGGAGGAGGAGGAGGAGGAGGAGGAGGAGGAAGAGGAGGAGGAGGAGGAGGAGGAGGAGGAAGAGGTGGAGAGGAGGAGGAGGAGGAGGAGGAGGAGGAGGAGGAGGAGGAGGAGGCCTCAAGAGGTTCCCAAGAGGCCCCAAGAGGCCCACAAGAGGCCCCCAGGAAGCCCGAAGAGGCACCCAAGAGGCTCCCAAAGGGCCACTAAGGGGCTCTTAAGAGGCCCCAGAATTCCTCCCCGGAGGCCCCCAAGAGCTTTGCGAAGAGACCCCACGAAGAATCCCTGAGAACTCTGGCCCACGTCAGCATCGCCGTCTTCGTCGTCGTCGTCTTCGTCGTCGTCGTCGTCTCCGTCGTCTTCGCCGTCGTCGTCGGGCGCTGCTCTCGGGACAAGCACGAAGAGAAGTTCGTAGTCTCCACGTGAAGGTCAGAAGGCACCGCGCCAAAACGAAGCACAGAAACGAGTGCGAGAAACAAGACACAGCCGAAGTCCAGAGCAAAACAGCGTTCGGGTCCAGCCCTGCTGGCGGCGCGGGCCCAGCTTGAGCGTCCTCAGGGTCGGCCCGTGCCGGGCCCTGGGGCCCCAAGAGAAGACAGCCGAGGGTGCGACATCCACACGAAAGACCGCGTCGCGAGCCTCCGGGGACCTCTGCGGGCGGAGACCGCTCAGCGTTGGACGAAGTCGCGCGGTGCGAGGAGCCAGGTCCCGCGCAGTCAAGGCATGGACCTGCCGTGCTGCGCCTGTTTCCCCGCAGCGCTCGCCCTTGTCATCCTCCCCTCGTCGTCCATCTGCCGCGCCACCTCCTCGTTCGCCCACTCCAGGTCACATCTCCCTTGCGCAGTGCTACGAGCAGACAAGGCAGTATTCGCAGGCGGAGAAGACCTTCCGACACGCTCTGCAGCTTGCTCCCCACCGCACGGTGGGGTGTCAGGGAGGACGAGCTCAGAAGAAGCAGGAGGTTGAGGAGGAGGAAGGGGAATACGGAACAGGACGAGCATTGGAAGCGAGTGGAATGAAGGGAGCAGGCTGAAACCGAGTTAGGCCAATTTGCCACAGTTTGGGAAGCGCTTGAGTGGCGATAGGACAGGTCCAGGAGATTCGCTAGAGTGACGCCACGCAAGAAGAAACTGCCCTGCGTGAATGCGGGCCTGGCACCCGTCATGAGTCTGTAGATGCTTGTAGCGGTTGTGAAGGTGTTCCCTCAGCTGCACTTCCAATAGGTACGGAGTCCGAGTCCCGCAACAGTCTGCTCATCGCTCTTTGCGCTCGTAGGCGCTGTGGCCCGATTTTTCGATTTTGGTACTCGATTCAGGTGCTCCGCAGCGTTTTTTTCTGCAGACTGCATCAGCTGTAGGGCGAATGGTCGATCACAGTGGCCGGGGTAGGGAGGGCAGAGTGGATCGGGGTAGGAGATCACGTTCTTCCTTGGGCGGGTGTACTACAACGCCAAGCAGTACAAACAGGCAGTGAGCTACCTGGAGAGAGTTCCCGATAGCGACCCGCGCGCCTTCGAAGCCCGGACGTACAGCGCCAAGGCTTGGAGTTCGCGCCGAGGCGGAGGAAGACATATACATATACATATACATATACATATACATATACATATACATATACATATACATATACATATACATATACATATACATATACATATACATATACATATACATATACATATACAAATACATATATATACATATACATATACATATGACAATGTATGAATATAAATATGACATAACAAGATACATAACATATACATATACATATACACATGCATATACAATTTAACATATACATTATACACATACATGTACATTTATGACATATACATATATATAATTCTACATTGACATTATACACAGACATAGTACATATGACATATTTACATAGATAATAAGACACAATACAATACATGAGACAGATACATATTACATATGACATATAATGAGTACATATTACATATACAGAGACATGATACATATACATATACATATACATATACATATACATATAATTACATATATATACATATACATATACATATACATATACATATACATATACATATACATATACATATACATATACATATACATATACATATACATATACATACACATACACATACACATACACATACACATACATATACATATACATATACATATGCATATACATATACATATACATTTACATATACATATACAAATACATATACATATACACATACACATACACATACACATACACATACACATACATATACACATACACATACATGCATGCATACATACACGTACACATATACATTCGGTGTAGGCGATGAATGCATGTATGTGTATACATACGTATATACATCGATCTCTCCAAGTAGGCTGGAACCGCGGCCCCATGATTGCATGCGGGCCCCTGGCGGCCCGTGGTGGCCCAGAGACCTCACGGACAGTTGAAAACACTTTCAAACTGGCCCACGACCGTCCAACATTGGGTCTGGGGCGCTTTGGCGCCACCCTAGATGCCCCCAGTCGGTCTGAAGCAGCAATCGTAGGAGTAATCGTGGTAGTAGTAGTAGTAGCAGCAGTAGTAGTAGTAGTAGTAGTAGTAGTAGTAATCATAGTAGTCGTAGTAGTAGTAGTAGTAGTAGTAGTAGTAGCAGCAGCAGCAGCAGTTGCAGTAGCGGCAGCAGTAGTAGTCGTAGTAGTAGTAGTAGTAGTAGTAGTAGTAGTAGTAGTAGTAGTAGTACTCGAAGTAGTAGTAGTAGCGTAGTAGTAGTAGTCGTAGTAGTAGTCGTAGTCGTCAGTTTAGTAGTAGTAGTTAGTAGTAGTGGTAGTAGGAGTAGTAGTAGTTAGTAGTAGTAGTTAGCAGGTAGTAGTAGTAGTTAGTAGTAGTAGTATTAGTGGTAGTGGTATGTATTGTAGTGGTAGGGTGGTATGAGGCAGTAGTCAGTGGTAGTGGTAGTGGTAGTGGTAGTGTGTGGTAGTAGTGGCAGTGTCGTGATAGTGGTAGTGGTAGTGGTAGTTAGGGTAGTAGCCGCAGTAGTAGTCAGTAATCGTAGTAGTCGTAGTTCGTGTAGTAGTAGTAGTAGTAGTAGCAGCAGCAGTAGAGTAGTCAGTAGTCAGTAGTAGTCGTGAGTACTCGTATTAGTAGTAGTAGTAGTAAGGAGTAAGTAGTAGTAGTAGTGATAGTACGTAGTGGTAGTAGTAGTGTCGTAACAGTAGTACTGTGTACTCATTTCGTAGTAATAGTAGTAGTAGTAATAGGTCGTAGGCTAGTAGTAGTAGTAGTAGTAGTAGTTAGTCGTAGTAGTAGTAGTAGTAG